GGGTTGTACACACACACACACACTGCTGCAGAAATGAATCACAAAGTCCCATCCTGCTCACAAGCTGGTGATCTACCGTTTCGTCGTTTCGCGCCGTAATTTTGTGCAAAGGTAACATGCAAATTGCAGGAGCTACCTCTGAAGCAACGAGCGTCGCATCCGTGCAGTGAGGCATGCAACAGGATCCTTTGAGCTTTCAGGCATGGCATGGAACCTTTGTCGCATTGGATTTGAACAGCACGGAATCAGACCAAAAACAAGACTGAAGTGAAGCATGACAAGCAACAAGGAATCTTGACATCTTCACTCCAGATTTATTTGGCTTTCTCTTCACGAGCAAAACGAAACTTTGCAGCAAGGGCACTGAGCACTGCGATGTCTCATGCTGGCATACACAAATGCTAGCAGTTGCTACCTCCGAATCGCCACTTTGACTGCGGCATGTTCTGAAACTAGCAACAATGGTGGAGACCACCCCTTGTCTAGATACCGCCAGCTTCAGAGGTTCAACAGATGTTTGCAATCACAAGGGGTTACAAAATGACCTCTATGTAAACTGTTTATCCCTGTACAACATCAACATGTTTCCTTCCTCTGTATCTTTATCGATTTACGGTGCTTCGGCAGAACTACTTCATGCTAGTACATGTTAATTAGTACGGGAAACCTAATTGTGCTTCGCTACACGCCGCCAGGTATCTGCGTTTGGGGCTTTGCATGAGAGAATTAGGCTTACGCTTAACATTGTGAAGATAGATTGATTGAGACTATGTGAACACAGCAAACTTTACTTCTCCGGTTATCTTCCTTTTCAGATTTCACTGCAGAGATCACCTCTGCGGCTGTACACAGGTTCTTCAGCGCCCGGTTTGCAATGGAAGTGAGAACTTGGCAGGAACCACCATAACTGCCATGGCTGGCAAAGCCTACTTCCGAGAAACCCACATTATCGTTTTGATTGTCGCTTCATTACTCAGGGGGCGTCGCGGTCTGGGCTCGGCGGAACGGTTCGGGTACCCCCAGGGCAGATTCTCGGACAGGTGCTCTCTTGAACATTATATCTATATTTCCTCTTTATCATTTTGCAAGAAATGGAGATTGTGATGCAATTATGGGCCTATCCTTACCTTAATGCAGTACAGCTCCTTGGTAACTGCACTGAACTTGGACAGAGTAAGTAACCTCTGACCAGTGCAAAGCTACATGTGCAAGCTGAGACCAAAGCTTCCTGAAATCCGACAACATGCAATCTCCGCTTCTGATTCTGCCTGACTGTGCGTTTGTCTCTAGGGTTTCCACATGCGCAATGAGCAATGAAGCAAGGCTCGTGGAGAAGCCAAGGGGGTCGAACTCGAAACGGCCCCAGGCACCTTCGGCGCCCACCAGGCCCTGCGCAAACTTGCCTGACATCAACAAAAACAAGTAGCGCCTTCTTTTTCCAGAGCCCGTGCATTGGCACTGAAAAACATGCATATTATATTGGGCGGATGTGCAGCTTGAGCTTTCTCCTTGACACCTCATTGCTGAACCATCTTCAGTCACACAGCTTCCAATTACCTTTATCCTTTCTCACATGCAAGCTCCAGGTGCCATTGTCGAGCAGATCGATGCCGGAATCCTCGTATGCCACGGCCAACTCGCGACGGGTTGCCTGTTACTCTCAGACAGCTTCGGTCTTAAACCTTTTGGCAAGAACACACTGCTTAATGTGCTTTGCTTGCGACAGCTGGGGTGTACTGAAGTTCCCTGCTGCACTGATTGTCCCACGATTGCAGCTAAACCCAAGGCACGGAGGGAACCCTGCTACTCGATCAGACCCATCTTACCAACGTATGAGCCACAATGCTCAACGAGAGTGGTCAACAGCGGCGAGACGTACTGCAAGCCCGCCACAAGCCTTCTGTGCCGTGCGTGCCGGGCGCTGGGCGGCCACTGCGCCAAGGGCAGCCACCGCGGCCACGCCAACTACAGCGCTGGTGCTGCTATAGCCTGCACTCCAGGACCACAAGGTCTGCAGAGCACCAGCATGCGCAATGGCGACTTATTTACAGCTTCTGCAGCATCTGATCCTGCCTGCAGCTTGAGAGCCGCGTGTGGATGGAGCGGCAGGGCTGCGGAGACCTGAAGCCAAATGAAGGCAGTTTTGTGACAACTCAGCAGACTCACTTCCACGTCTATGCTGGGGTGAGACACTTCAACTCCTGCCTGATCCCCAGATCTTTGTATGCTACTGTATCGTATGCCTATCAGGCAAACTTTAGGGGATCCAGGACGAAACTGAGAGCGCGTGTGTTTGTAAGCGAAGCCATCTTGCCTGGAGTTCCAGCTGGGACAAAGCTGGGAACTGTGAGGCCAGCCACGGCAGCGGCAGCGAGGCCTGAACATCACAAAAGCATGAGAAGCCAGATAGCCAACATCAACTCGTCCAGGTTATCCCCAAATACTGCCAAGACCAGCTGGAACATGCGAGACCACATCATGACTCTACGTCTAAACTGGAACATGTATACCACATCGTGCTAGTGCTGAAGGCTCGTGCATCTACAGAAAGCCTAGCATTCGGCCTTCTCATGGACGAAATAGAATATGCCAGGTTGGAGGCTGCTGGGATTTGTTTGGTAAAGCTCGACCAAAGATACATGGCTGAACGAAAGCCAGCATAATTTGCAGGTCCAAGTCGCACGCAGTGGTTGAGCTGCTCGGCATCACGACAGGTAAATGGCAGGTCAAAAAGCAGACGCTGCGACGCTGCGGTCTTCTTCTGCAAGCGTCTGAGCCACGAATAATACGTCAACCGATGCGATCGAGCACAACACACACGTCTTCAAGCATGCGCAACTTACACAACAAGCCCTGACAAGACTTCGGAAGTGCATGAACGCACAAACCCAAGTGCATTTCCACAATAATGTGACGGAGTTCTAGCTGCAGCAGATGACCATACACTTTTTTGGTTTGCGACTGGCTTGCGCTTGTCGGCACTGTCCCATGCTTTGCGTCTCCTCCTGCATGAGCCGAGAAGGTTCCACAACTGCCATCCAAGCTTTCGAACTAGCCAGGCTTTCATGGACTTACTCTGCTCCTCAGTGTCGCTGAAGAACGTGTGACGTGGGGGTGCCTTTGGAGGCCGTGGACGCATCACCTGCTGCAGCACTTGCAGCCAAGCAGAAGACCGCTGCTTTGCGGTGCTTCAGATAAAGCTGGCATCTTTGTCAAGCCCGCGACCTCACGCATAGCCATCGTGGCATACTGGCCAGGTCCCAAATGAAAATCCAGTACCAGAGACTTCGACCTTAGTCTCGCACTGTCTCGCAAGTTAGCACGGCACGGTGCTTGACATGCAAGCAAGCTCTCCAAGAACAGATTTGCACGGAACTGCCAGGCGAGCCCAAATTTCCAAAACGCTTGAAATTTCTACTGCCATTATGCGATCAACCTCTGCACACGTCCGTGATTCAAGCAACCATGCTCTGCATGCACCTGGGCCACCTGCCCGTCTAGGTCGTGCTTTGCACGAACTCGACTGAAGCAGTTTGTTGCACGGCTCACCTTGAGGAAGCACAATTGAACACAAAAGCTGGGCACCTCTCGAGCACTGGGCAACATTTAGCAGCAACATGTGGTCTCATTGCGACAGACAAGAGCGTTGAAGAATCTCCGTTGTGCAGACACATGCTGAATGCCCGCCTTCGTCCCCGGTTGGTCCGGCCAATCTGAGTCCGGAGTGCCCAAGTTTGGCTCCAGGTACCAACTGCGGAGAAAAAGCAAGCGTCAGAAGTTTACAATTCTCCGTATCAAGTCTCGTCTTAGCAGTTCGCTCAGTCTTGGGTTGGTCAAATAAACCTCTTTGTTGATTCAGAGCTGGACACTGGAACCCTAGACTTTGGACCGCCCGCCTTAACTGTCCTGGTCGTACCAGCACACGCCGCATGCAGCCAGTGAGATACATGGGATCATCCGTATGCGCGGCCTGCTTCAACATGGCGTTATCATGTTGTCAAGCCTTGCTGAAGAAAATGGAAACCACTATATGGTATATTGGGGTTATATAGGGATACTTAGCCTGGGACCTTTGAGACAAAGGTTTTGGCCAAATCTCGAGAGTATTTCTTCAAAATCGAATGCTTAGCTTGGCCATGCGAGGACCTCGAGCATCAGTTCCTCTGGGTCCAGGCCATCATACGCGAGGTAGCTCCGCCTTGGGGAGCTTGGGCAAGTCTATTGCAATCAATTGGGGGCAAGCTTAGGGTCGAATAGAGCTCTCCCATCCAGCACCTCTTAGTTTCGTGCATTGCGCTTCCGTATATAGACATGTCATCAAACATGGTCTCAGGCATGGGGGAGTTCGTCTACGATTCGCTGCGTAGCTGGGGCGTGCCGGAACAAATATTGACTTTGAGAGTTCAAAAAGTTCTGTTAATCTTGATATGAGGCAAGAAACGTTTCTTTCCATTATGCCTTCGGGCCCTTTGCGGGGCCAATCGGAACCCTTTCTGCTTGGCATCTTTTGCGAAGATGGGCAGCCACCAGACTTACCCCATCCTTGCTATTCACAAGGTCAGCCTTCTTGTCGAAGCCCTGGAATGCCTTTGGATTTCAATCAAATACGCCAACAGAACCCCAGTCCCATGCGAAACAGCTGGCCTCACCAAATGTGCCAACATACCCCCAATCCTATGGGAAACAGCTGGCTTCACCAAGCCAGGCCACATAAAATGCCCAACACCATGCGAAGGCAAGGAGACTCCTTCAAGGAGGTGACATGGAAGGGAGCAACAGTTCTTGGTCGTTACAATGCCTTTCCTGAAACGCCACTCTGGACGTGGTCATCACCACGACTCAAGTAAAAGGTCAGTGTCCTGCGCCCGGCCGCGGAAGCACCAAGTCAAAAATGGATGCCTGCTTGGCCTGGGCACAATCTGTACCAGGCACTGCTTCATGCCACGAAGAGTTGACACCCAGGGCCTCTGCACTCACGTCATCTTCTGAAATGACAGGCCTCGTCAGGGCAGCACAGCGCAAGCCATAACCCTTACCAGGTGCCAGCGATGCCTGAAGCACCATCGTTGTGGGATAGAAAAAGCTAGAACAAATATTTGGAGACATCGACCTGCAAGTGCTTGGATCATGCAGGCACAGCCTGTATGGGTCTATTAGCAGACTAGCTTTGTGGGCCTTTGTTGCAGACACCAACCATTAAAGCAAGGTAAACCTGCCTGTGTGCGGCATGCATCTTTCGTTAAATGCCTCACTGAAAAAAACACTAACCTGGACACAGTGTCCTCTTCTCTGCGTAGAAACATCTCAGGCTTCCAGGCCTGAATGTTCCTGGTTGAGCTGGATCATCAATCCAATCGCCCTGAACCAACCTCAACAACGCAGCTTCCGGGAAAGGAGGTAGTGCCTCTAGTAGACGCCCACTTGTTGAAAACTCTAACATCTCCTGAGGGTCGCACCGCAAGCCCATCTGCCTCCGCTCGGTCGCAGCCAAATTCCACAGCCTGTCCACGTAGGAGTGCGCGTAGAGAGCCCGAATGGTCCTGCACATTGCAGGCATGGCAGGCTCACCAGAATTAGATGAAGAGCCGTGCAACATCGTGCAGCGCATCCTGTCCTGGGCAAGGCTAGGAACGCTTCCCGAGCCACATCAGCCCATCGCATGCCTCGGAGGTCCACAACACAAGTTGTGGTTGGGAGATGATACTCAGGCACCTTCAGCGTGCAGAGCGCCCTTAGGGGCGTTCATGCTGCCAAGAACCAATCAATGAGCAGCTACACGGTCCGCAAACTGAAGAAAGAGAGAACGGAAAGGACCTCAATTTGGAGTTCTTTGCATCCTTTTGTGAGCTGAAAAGTCGAATCCTCCTGAGGGCACAGTTACCCATGTTGGGATCAGCCAAGGATCGTTTTTTTGGAGGTGACAGCGGCTCCTACCATCATGAGACGTACAAGCAGATGCTTGCAAGAGCGTGCGCTCAAGGACTGGAAGCCTTAGTGCGCTCTCATTATGTCTCTCCAGGGCCCTAGAACCTTGAAACGTGCAGAAAGCGCGCCTCCTCAGACCACTTGGGCATAGCTGTCCCACCATCAAGGTCCTGCATGCACTGTCTGTGTGAGTCTCAAAATGTAATCATTATATCAAACTGCCAGACTCAACAGCACGCCGAGGTGACATAAAGCGGGAGCTGCCCAACTTGATATATGATGAGATGCATGCCCGTTCGAGCCACAAAGCAGTGGTTAGCGAAAGCAGAAGCATCTAGCGGACGCCACCAAAGCAGACTGCGGCGAACAAGCAGTGTCAAGGACCCATGCATGAGGGCTGGGAAGTTCAGCTGCTTGCCCGATTTGAAAGCTGCTTGTTCGAAAGACTCTACATCTCTCCGCGAAGACGTTCTGACAGGAATACTGCGTACTCCAGCCCTTCTTTCTTTCTACACCTCGAAGCAGAAACATATTCAAAACGCGTTGCAACACAAAATCGCAATTCATACTGTCACCCCTCACTCCAAACTCACATTACAAAGCGCTTTTCTGAAACATCCCTGATCGATGTGACGGGGGGATGCAAATGACTAAGGGAAGGGTCTTTAATGCAGCGGCCTGTCGTCGATGCAGGGCACGAAGGAGACGGCGCTCGGCCCAGCAGCTTCCCTGGCAGCTTGGCAAGCCCCTTTAAACTTGCCTCATGCAGTAGGGAATGATGATAAACAATACTAGTAATAATCGTCGTCGGCGGCGTCGTCGTCGTCGTCGTCGTCGTTGTTGTTGGTGTTGTTGTTGTTGTAGTTGTTGT